AGGCCACGGGGCCGGCGAGTGGCAAGGCCCGTCGTTCTGATGGGGCTTCTGTGTTTCAGGAACCTGGCCAACTGTGAGCGCCTCATCGAGGTAGAGGATATGATGGTGATGGGCCGCAAGCCGGACCCCATGTGTGTCTTCACTTACGTGCAGTCGCTGTACAACCACCTGCGGCGCTTTGAGTGAAGCCCGGGGCCTGGAGGCCACACAGCAACCCCAGGAGGGGACCGTGGGGCCGCTGCATCCAAGTCGGGATGGCCTGAGGCTGCGCTCTGGCCTGAGCTCCGTTCCTGCTGCCGGAGTGACCGCGCTCGGTCCTGCCCGGCTGTGTTCCGGATTAGAGCACTGCTGAGCTGTGCTCCCGCTGCCTTGATCACGGCCAGGGGCCCGAAGGAAAGGAAAAATTACCAGAGAGAGAAATTGGTGCTAAGTAATTATCTCCCTTAAAAAAATGCTTGTCTGTAGGTCCCAGAATGCTCAATCACAGTTTTCCCTCTGGTGAGTCTGATCCATTGGTTTCACAGGGTTACGTTGATTACCAAGTGTTTTTTTTTTTTTTTATCAAAATACCCAGAGTTTTTTACTTCCTCATGCTATTGTAGTTTCCTTTCCTCCCTCCCTCTGGGCCACTGCCAGGAAACAGAGAGACCGCTTAATCAGCAGCTTGACAAAGAAGACCGAAGTCTTGGGAAGAAAGAGTTTAATCACTCCCAGGTCCCAGGCAACAGATGACCTTCAAGTCACCTCGGCTCTCTGGGGAGGTGGGAAGGCTCTTGCCTGGTCCCAGAGTGCTCCTGGCTTTCCCGGGAGGCCCCACAAGTGTTTGGCTAAGAATAGGCTGTCCTGCAGTTCACACTTTGGGGATGGACAGGCCCTTTGTGTAGAGAGGTAGTTTTTATTCACAGCTTTTTTAGGGGATTTGCTGCAGATATTTATAAAAAGTAACTTCATCTGTATCATTGACCATTTGTACATAAAGATGTGTTGAACTTCCCTTGGGGTTGGTTCTTTCTGTTTGGGAAAAGTGGGGCCTGGGACCAAGAGATTCTGCACACGTCCCAAATGAAAATCTTAAATGCTCCCTTTACTGTGTCTACCTGAATCACTTTAAGAAGGTTGAAAGTCACATTTGCTCATCTCAGTTGTGGAAGGAGAATGAACAGAGAGCTCCCCTTGTGGATCTGTCCCTGGGTGTTGCTGACGTGTCTGTGATAAGTGGTGGACTCCCACGGCAGGTTCTGGGGTGGACTCGCATGCTGAGGAAGCCCATCCTGGAATGCTGTTTTATTTTCACAGCTGTTTGGTGGCGGGCTTTTAATAGAACATCTGTAGGTTCTTTAAAGCCACAGCCATTAGCTTACTGTTATTCAAGAACCATTTTCTAACTGGGTTGGACTTTAGGCCTGAACCTCTAGAACTTCCCTTTAAGGAGACAATATGAGTCTTCAGCTCATGCATTGGGCTCTAAACACCAGCATCTGTGTGCCTTCTCAGAGTCACATAGGTGTCTAAAGTGTTGTGTACTGGGACAGAGCTCTTTTGGGGTGGCAGGAGGAACATGGCAGAGCTTGCCAGGCGGGTGAGCAGTAGGTCAGGCCTTGTTCAATCCTCTGGATGCTCCCACAGTGGGAACCACTCCCTTTCCAGCTCTCACCTCTGGGAGGCTCTGGGAGATGATTCCTATTAGCAAAGATCCAGTGCCTATTTCTTTGTCATGCTAAAGCTTAGGGTTGCAAACCTGAAGCCAATTTGGGGACACAAGGGCTCTATAAAAAGCCTGCCTCTATGTTACCGAGTACTCACACGTGTTCAAAGGAGCTCTCTTGAGTTGCAGACCTGGCCTTGCACCTCTGCACATAAAGCAGAGCAGGTCCTGCCAGAAGAAGGAATGATTTCTCTTAAACCTGAGGGATAGTGTCCCTCATGTCTCACAATCAAAATAATACAAACTAGATATTTTTAAAGTAGGCTCTATGAGGTGGTTGTCTGTAGTCTTTGGGGAGGGCTCAGATTTGATGGTTTTTAAACTTGATTACCTCTAGGACAAAGCCTGAGGGTTCCAAGCCATGGGGATAAAGTACAGGAAGGCCACACGATCTCAAGACGTTTGGAAACCATTGTATTAGATCAGGGTTACATGAAAGTTCCCGTTTGTGAAATTCGATTTCAGTTTGCCTTCTACCATGGTATAAATG